AAGTATTCTAAAAAATCAAGCTCAAGGTAAGGATCCAAAGCTCATAGAATACAGACAGAAATAGTAGAAAAACATCTCTCATATGCGCGAGATTTGGTGTTAAATGGTAGCCAAAAAAAAAAAAAAAAAAAAAAAAAAAGGTTAAAAGCACTGGAAAAGTTGGTCACTCACTCATGGAGGAAATTTCCACATTTAATTTCAAGTTCAGAAGTAGACAAAAGAACCGTCTCTAATATCTTAATATATGTTTCACCTTGGACAACGACCCAAATGTTGACTTAAGGTTATCAGCCACAGAGCCAGAATCTAGCTTAGAACACCCCAGGGTCATAGCTAGCAAGTGTTCAAATTTTGTTCAAAGTCAAACTTCCTGGCCTGATTTGTAAACGTGCTTGTGAGTGAGTGCCGTACAAGTGTTAAAGGTCTGTCTCTTTATGTCTCCTGTCTATGTCTATGTCTCAGTGTGTCGGGTGTGTCAGCTTTTGGCTCAGGTGGGTGTTTACTCCAGGAGCTGTTTTTACTGTTTGTGAGTGTGTGTGTGTGTGTGTGTGTGTGAGGGCAGACAGGATGTGCGGTGCTTGTCAGCACACTCCAGCAGATGAAAGGACAGCGAGGGTGTGGAAGAAGACGAGTGGCAGGTAACAGGTTGTCTACTCATAAATCCCTCTCGAAAGAATTTCAGACTATCAGCAGACCCCCCTGAGTCCACCAGAAGGAAACGGCACTCAGCACTAAGACGCTTTAGAACAACAACTCAGCACCTTCGGGAAAAAAAACCTGAGCTTACAGTGAGCTCCAGTGCAGTCCAGGTGCAAGCTGTCCAAACCTCAAAGCACAGCCATTATAGCACAACGTTTTAGGAGGTTGTGTTGGTGCTTTCCTTTCCTTGTGCGTGCCACCTGTTATTAGCGACGACACGAAGTAAATCAGGTTGCATCACCGGACTTGGACGGATGAGCGTAGGGTGATTGAAGAACACAAGGCCTCTTCACCTGCATAATAATGAGCAACAAAACCCTTCTGACGTGACAGCTACCTGCTTTGTAAGATGGAAATTCTCTCGCTCACTGCAATGTGGCTTGGCAGGTTAAGATCCTGACGCCATCAGTGACAAGTTATTTTTATCCCAGGTTATTAGTTTGACGCCATGTCAACAATTTACTGATGAACCAATTAAAGTTTCTTATGCATCACATAAGAAATAGTTGACCTGACTCGTCTTTTTTTTTTTTTTTTGGCTTTGGCTGTTCTTTCCTTCAACATCACAACTGTAGCCCAAATTACTGTAGCCCAGAGTACTTCTCATACAGTGGTCTGTACAGATAAAAACATACATGTTCTCAGGTTCAATAAGTGGGGGTATGGGTCAGGGAGGTGTGAAAACATTTCTGTCCCCAAGGGGGGGCATGACAAAAAAGGAAAAGAAAAAGAGAACCATTGCTCTAGTACCTTTTTATTATATCAAATATTTATTTGTCTTCCTTCACTATCCCGTCACCATCCTGCCAGCTGCTGGGACCCAAGACCGACGGCAACCACATTTCTTGTTCATATCCTTTTCTATATTCAACTTTTTTTCAAGATTTGGTTGATGTTTTGCTGGTGCTCTGGCGAGGCTGGTCACTCTTGATTTGTTGTTGTTGAGCAAAACCATCGTTGTTAACATTTAAAAAAAAACAAAAAAACAAAAAACCACACAACAACAACACCATCAGAGAACAACATTACAGAAAACACACAACATAACATTTGTCTGTGACCTGTTCATGAATACAAGCCAATAGTTCCATTTTTTTT